TCCCATAAACGTTAAGATGTTTTATCCTTCTTTCACAAACATTTATTCAGAGGTCCTGCTTTTGATGCTGCAATCATCAGACATGACACGAGTCAGTTCGTTAGCTCTCTCATTTTACATTTTCAGAAAGGGAAAGCAAGGGCAGTATTTGCGTGAGCGTACTGGTCAAACATTCATGGCGACTAAAAATCTTTAACATCTTGAGTGGATGCACATTCACGCTCCCCGTGGTGTAGTCACAGGTGCATGTGTGATGTTATGTGGGCCTGGCACTTTTATAGAGATAGTGAAAGCGCCGTCTCTGCTCACCATGGTAGTCTTCAGCGCTTCAGTAACCGGTTCTTTCGCCACAACCTTGGATACCTCTAACCTGTCTCTGTCCCGACTTTGCTGCGCCCTCCCTCTGCCGCTTTTAGCATCTGCAGCAGGTTCGGACTGCCTTTGCTTTCCCTTGTTCCACCATTAGCACTCTCCATATCCTCCCCATTAAGTTCAGCTCTGTACTCCTCTTGTGGTTTCAGATACCCATCAGCTAATCCCAGGATCTGGTTCTTTTCCATGTTTCCTCTGATAGTAATGTGTTGAATTAGCTTCTTTCTTCTTCTTCTCTACCCACATACATCTGATATTTCCTCCTCCATAGAGTGTATTTACTCTAAACAGTAGCAGTTCTTGGTTACTTTGACTAAATGTAAAGCAGATAATTGATTTTGGATGCAGTGTGTACAGTGTAAACAGAGATATGAGCACTGCCGCTCGACACGAGGCAAACGTAACCTGGAAATGCAGGAATGTAACTCACCTCCATCAATAAGTAGATGTCAGTTTGTGCCGTCATACAGTCTTTCATGCTAAAAGGACACAAGGAAGCCCTTGCATTCAAGATCTGAGTCATTTGGACTTGCATTTCTTGTTTTTGTGTTGCTTTTGATAACACTGACTCAAATCCCATTAAGGCACATGTGTAACTCGAACAGAGGGTTACATTATAAACAACCAGGCATGATGTCATGTTTACATTAAATGCCACCAGCATCAACAGAGGCCCCGCGGTTCCTGATCACCTGCTCCAATGCCAGGCTGAAAGACACGAGGTTTGATTTTGTATGTAGGTATGGGCAGAAGTGCCTGGGTTTCTCAGATAGGCTGATGTTTGTGTATATAAGGGGTTTGAAACAGTTATCAATCACACTTGGTGTTCCCCTGATGAACTGCACTTACAGAAAGAAAAAACTTTGCAGCAAAGCAGCAGAAACTTTGGATGATAGCCAGTGTACGGCGAGCTAATACATAATGGCCACTGTGAACCAGACGAATAAATATAGCAAGAAAGACAAGTCTTAATGTTCATACAGGGGCACCTGACTGGTGTTTGAAGACAGATTTTATTAACCTTTGTTTTTTTAAAAAAAGGTCCTTTAAGTTTAGTCTGTACAATAGTTTTGTTATGTCTGGTTAAATAGATCGCAGTAGGAAGGTTCCTACAAACAGAATAAAAGGTTCTTCTGTGCAGTATCCAGTGAACTGGACAGAGTTGGTCTTTTCAGGTTTCTACCTTTTAGCCTCCAGGTACATGTTTTTTTTTTATCCACTAGAGGGTGTAACAGCTCTGCAGGCGTTGGAAGGTGTTTTCCCATCAGCTAAGACAGAAAAAACCCTCTGAGAGAGAAGACTTTAAGATGATGTTCAGGACGTGTTTGCAGTGCCATGATCGGAGACGAAGCGCCTGGATCTTTCTCTATTTTGAATGATAATGTTATCAGATTTTTTTTTTTTAATTGTACACTAAATACAGATGGAAATACATTTACATTCTCATCTATAAAATGGTGTACTGTTTAAACATTTTTATTTATAATACTGAGTATTGTCAAATGTAACTTAAATACTAGGGATGCACCGATACCGATACTGGTATCGGGTATCGGGGCCGATACTGTAAAATGTGTGTGTACTCATACT